TTCGGCCTGAGATACATTCCCGTCTATCCTATGGGTAATTCAAAGCAGCGGGATCGCTATCAAAGTACTGGAATTACCCCGGTCCTACTCCGGGCCTCTACTGTCCAAAGACTATAAGTAACCGGTGTTGAGAGTATAACGTCGAGAGGAGTGAAAGTTCTTCACATTGGCTGGCCAAAAACCCAGCCTTATATACTACACAATATATCTAGAAGGTTCTACAGTATACTACAATGTCCATAGGTCATTTCCCTCGGCCTCGGGCAGACGGGCTCGGCATACTAGTAAGTTTGATGCCTTCGGAGGCGTACCTAATTATATTCCTTCAACACCCCCCCTCGACTCCGAAGTCATTCCAAGCCTAAGAATTAATCCCTGTGCTTCGGAAATGGCAAAGCTTTAGTCAGTACATCTGCCAAGTTGTCCTCGGATGCGCAGTGGGTAACTTCGATTTCCTGCGAAGAAATCCGTTCGCGGATGAAGTGATGTCGTATGTCTATGTGTTTACTTCGTCCGTGGAATGTTTGACTCTTGGAGAAATCAATAGCTCCCTGATTGTCGACATTGATAACAGTTGGATGTTCCGTGGTTATGCCGAGTTCCAGAAGCAAATTGCGAAGCCAGATTGCCTCACGAGTCGCATGACTGACTGCCATGTACTCTGCTTCCATGCTGGACAGAGCTACGGTAGGCTGTTTCTTGGAGTTCCAAGAAATAAGACTTTTGCCGAGGAGGAATACAAATCCTGAGATTGATCTGCGGTCTACCGGATTGCTTCCCCAGTCAGCATCAGAGTATCCTATTAAGTCCAACATCAAGTCGATGAATTCTGATCCCCCGAGAACGATGCCCCAGTCACGTGTTCCATTGAGGTAGCGCAAAACACGATTGATTGCTGTCCAGTGAGTCTCCGTTGGATTACTGGAAAACTGACTCAAATTTTGGACTGCAAATGCAATATCAGGCCGTGTGCCAAGTGCTGCCCACATGAGTGATCCAACTCGTGACTGGTATTCACTTCCCTTGCTCGGAGTAAGTACCGGTTCACCCGGTGCCGGGCGGAGAAGTTTGACATTCGGATCGAGCGGCATCCGAACTGGGTTTGAACTTCCCATGTCAAAGTTCTCGAGCATGCGGGAGATGTACGGCTCCTGTGTCAAGAGGATCGTCCGCTTCTTTCTGTCTCTAGTAACCTTGAGACCGACTATTTGTTTAATTTCTCCAAGGTCAGAGATATCAAACTTCTGTTTGATCTCCCCCTTGATCTGGTCTAAGGCTTTTCGAGACGAAGCAAATAGTGTCATGTCATCAACATGCACTGCAACAAACCATAAGCCCTGGGTTGTCTGCCGCCAGTACACACATTGATCTGAGAACAGCTGAGTGAATTCCAAATCTTTGAATGAACTATCCAAAGTATTATTCCACTCTCTGCCTGACTGTTTGAGACCATATAAAGTGAGTTTAAGCTGGCAAACCCTGCCGGTCCCATCATCATATGACGGTGGTTGCTTCATATAAATTTTCTCCTTCAATTTGCCGTTGAGATATGCGCCAACGACATCAACCACATGGATTTCCATATCCAGTGTTGTGCCTATTGCAAGTAATAGCCTCATAGTTTCCAGCCGCACCACTGGAGCAAAAACCTCGAAAAAGTCCATGCCAGGGATCTGAGAATATCCCAAGGCCACCAATCGAGCTTTGTATTTTTCTATTGCTCCCAGTGCATCCCTTTTGATTCGGAAGACCCATTTACAACCAATTGGTTTTCTATCACCCGGGCACTTTACAAGTTCCCATGTGCCAAGTTTATTGAGTTGTATAATCTCCTTGTCCATGGCTTCTTTCCAACGCGGCCAGTCCTCACGACTTTTCGCATCAGCAACATCAATAGGATCACCATTCACAATGGACGCCGAGATCAAAGCGAACTCTGCTTGGTTTTGGTCATCATCATCAAATACCGGGACGTGATGCTGCCATTCTTTCGGTCCTCTGGCCGCTGGATTATGAATAACCCGATAATTTGGCCTTGTAGTCGCACTCGAGGACCTCAGGCTTCGTGCTCGCAATTCTGCAATGGGCTGTGGAATTCTACTTGGCCTTGGTGTCACAGGTAACAGATCATCAGGTTTTTCGGCTTCACCTGATTGCTGTGGCTCATCTGAGGCTTGCTTGTCATTCCCAGAACTCTCCCCCTCAAGCAAGGGAGGGTGAGCCGGAATCTCGTTCTGTGTCTCGTTTCCATCATCAATCCAAAAGATCATGTTCCGAGACGTCAGAATCTGTTTTGTGATGGGGTTATAATACCGCCACGCTCGAGATTCATCGGTAAGGCCCACAAATTTAAACTGTCTGGACTTTGGCTGCAATTTATGCCTCTTGCCATCCTGCTGCAACACCCAACATGGTTGGCCAAATTCCTGGAGGATTGACACATCTGGTTTCTTCCCCGTAAAGGCCTGATCCGGAGTCACATCCTTGACAGCTCGTGTCGGCGACCGGTTTTTTAAATATGTCGCATACGAGATGGCCTCGGGCCACAAGAAATATGGAATATCATGTGCAATCAGCATTGCACGAGCATGTTCAGCAAGAGTACGGTTCAAGCGTTCTGAAATTCCGTTTTGCGCTGGTGAATTTGGCGCAGTTAATTCCAAACGGATTCCATTATCTTTTAGGTACTTTTTGAACGCTTGGTTCAGGTACTCCCTGCCATTGTCAATCCTCAGGCACTTTAAGTCTTTGCCTATCTGGGTCTTGACATAGGCTCTGTACTGCTGAAAACATGTCTGAACCCCCTTCTTGTCCCTCATAAAATATGTCATGGTTCTCCGAGTCTTTCCATCAGTAAAAGTGATGAAATATCGCTCTCCTCGGATGCCTGTGACTCGTGCAGGTCCCCACACGTCGGACAAGGTAAGGTCTCCGATTTTCTTAATTTCTGTCAATGACTCCTTGGGGAAAGGAACCACATGCTGCTTCGCTTGGATACAGGCACGACATTGCTTTGCAGGTTCAACAGAGGTATCCACCTCCATGCCTTCCACCATATCTTTGGCCTTCAGCATTTTCACTGCACCCATATGCAAATGTCCAAATATTCTGTGCCATTCATCCCAAGTTTTCTTTTCTTTCGCAGCCATCGCTATTTCTGTCCCCATATGGGAACTGGCCATCATGCGATACAGCCGCCCGGTTTTCTTCCCGGACATTACTCTGCTGCGCAATTTCGGACTGAGGACTGCAACTTTGTCCCCTTCGAAAACTAGTTTGCATCCAGCATCAGTGAGTCGGCTTAATGATATCAGGTTATTAATGGCGTCTGGGGCATGGACGACATCTGTAAGAGTGACTTGTTTGATTTGATTGTCAACCTTACAGTCAAGCTGGATAGTTCCTCTGCCAAGAGACGGAACTTTCTGTCCTCCAAATCCAATGATGGTTCCCTTGCAAGCAGAATAAGCTGAGAAAAATTCTCTATTCTTGCATACATGAGAAGTAGCCCCAGAATCTGCCAACCAGACTTGTTCTGATGCGCCCAATGCTGTGTCGTCTGATGCAAAAATGTAGTCTTCATCCTCCGAATCTTTGGCCACATTAGCGTTGTGCTCCTGCTCCTTTTTCCCTTTGCCTGCCTTTTCTTTCTTTCCTTTTCCCTCCTGCGGACTTGGGCAATCAGACTTGAAATGCCCCTTCTTTCCGCAACCGTAGCATGTGACATTCTGTCGGGACTTCCGGGATTTAGCGGCCAGGGCAGTGTCATCATTTCCATTCTTGGATTTGATGCGCCGGTCTTCCAATAATATTTTTGCAACGAGTTTAGCCGACTCTTTCAGGGTTGATTCATCCACTGAAGAAATGAATGAATTCCAGGACTCTGGAAGTGATGTGAGGAGGGTCATTGAGAAATCAGTTTCCTCAATTTTCTGCCCCAAAGTTGCCAACTCCGTTTGGTAAGACCGTAACGTGCGAATATGTTCCTGGATATCACCGCCTTCTGCACATTCTGCACGGAAAAATTTCCGGCGTGCAAGAACTATCCCAATTGGCCCACTTGGCTCATATGTGTCGCGCAACGTCTTCCAGGCCTCCGCAGCAGTTTTCGCACCGCTAACATAAACCAGGACATGGTCGGCCACACGCAATCTGATGGCCGAGAGTGCCATCCGATCCTTCTTCTGCCAAGCCGCCTTTGCGGTCGGATCATTCGGCTCCACCGCAGTCCCATCGGCATGCTCCATGAAGTCCGTGGATGTCAAGATATCAATCATCTTGGTCTTCCACACCCCATAATTTTCCTCCCCCTTCAATCCCTCGATACGGTAGAGGCTGTTCGAGGATTGGTCCATACTTCCAATACTGTTGCGTGTGTAGAAAATTGACTATCGGAAAAGACAACTATCTTGTCACAATCCCAGATGCAACGGAGTGACTACCGTCTATAGTCTGGTGAACCAAAATGTAACCCACTGAAGAGTATACACCCAAGAATTCTGTGTCTGTATCTGCTGTGGACACGGGCGACGACCCGAGAAGGGACACGCAAACGGAAGTTCTTTGATCGGAGGTGATGTCACCACCCGGTGACGTGAGAAGCTGATGAGGGCGATTTAATACGAAGAGTATTCAGTTAGGGCCGGGGCCCATAACCTGTTGAGAGTATAACGTCGAGAGGAGTGAAAGTTCTTCACATTGGCTGGCCAAAAACCCAGCCTTATATACTACACAATATATCTAGAAGGTTCTACAGTATACTACAATGTCCATAGGTCATTTCCCTCGGCCTCGGGCAGACGGGCTCGGCATACTAGTAAGTTTGATGCCTTCGGAGGCGTACCTAATTATATTCCTTCAACAACCGGAGCGCAGCAACGGCTTCTGAGTGTTAGCAAGGACGGCGTGTACCCCGAGCATATTATCGACGACTGTTTAGTGGGTCTTTTTTTTCTATGGTACTTAATAAATGAATAAATGATCACCCTTCCTTGCATCACTCCGAATTGGTGTAGTGGTTCAACATTATCGCCTCTCAGTTTGTTATGTAATCTGCACGCGATAGCCAGGGGTTCGATTCCCCTATTCGGAATCCTTTTTTGCGTGATGGATTCACTTATGTTTTGAATGCCTCTTTGATAAACTCTGGTATAGCACCTTTGAGCTCGCGGTAGCCCGGGGTTGTGTAGAGGTCGGTCTGTGCTTAAGGGGAGTGATGATGATAATGATTCAATTGGGTTACTGTAAGTGGCCGGTAATGGCTAAGACAGTAAGACAGCAGTACATATTGTATGGTTAATTGGTGGTTATCGGTGGAGGTGTATTGTTGGGAGGCTATGGTAGGTAAAGTGAAAGTGAGGTATGACAGTAAATGGTAAAAGGTTGGGTGTCGCAATTCGTGTGTGGGAGGTGATCGTCGTGTGGGTGTTAGATGTGAATCGCAGTGGTTTTTGCCGGTTAAGATTATGAGAATATAATGCATGAGAGAGAGAAAAAGGAACGGAGACGTTGTTACTCAGAAGCGGCGAGTGGTTTCGACAACTTTCCCAAGCGCCTTTAGAAGCTTTGGGTGGGAGAGGGAGGGGTGCGACATGGAGGGGGCCGAACAGACCGGCTGATCTCGAGGTGGTATACAGCAGTTGACACGCTGGTTCCCAGGATTGACATTCCAGGAGAAAGTGCGCGCGCGTCTCGAAAGGATTGCCGCAGGCATCGCATGGAGCCGAATCAACGAAGCCAGATTTGGCTCGATCCGCATCGAGGAACACGAAGCCTGTGCAGAGCTGGGAGATGTTGGAGGAGGTCTTGCTCGATAGAGAGGAGGAGGAGTAGAGGGGAGCAGGAATGAGAGAAGGCGGGGATTTGTCCACAGCACGTAGCCCCACGCCGGCTTTGGTGATCTTCCAACGTGCGTCCCAGGAGTTTAGCATTAGGAGGTGGATATGACGACGAACTGAGGTGAGGGAAACGAAGAGGGATGGATCTGGCTCCCTCGCTGTCGCTTCCTTGGCGGCGTCGTCGGCTAGCTCGTTCCCAACCGTGCCGATGTACGCCGGTGTCCGCATGTTGACAATGGTGAGGTGGGGGTGCCATAGCATAGCGTCGCGGACCAGTTGGTCGTAAAGGATAGCCCGGAACTGCCCTGAGCGCGGTTTTGTGGACAGGATCCCCTGCAGCACCGCCTGCGAATCAGCGACGCACAGGATGCACGTGCATTCGTCGCGAAGCTCCTTCGTCGTCGAGCACACCAGTCCCACCATTTCCCCATCGCACACTTGCCCATTTCCGAGAGGCTCCATCAGCCGCTCACACTCCTTGCCATCCTCCACCCTCACTGCTGCCCCACCCGCTCGTCCCTCCAGCAACGACCCATCCGTAAACCAAGTCGCGTGCTTGCGTCGCTTGTCCGCCATCGCGGTTTTCAGCGCTTGCAGCGCGCTATCTTTCGGGAGGATGACGGTAGTGACAGGAAGCGAGTTGGCCCAGGGCGCTGCATAGACCGGAAGAATGGGCTCCATGCCCAAGGGCCAAGGTGCCGTCGAAGTCCGCATCCGGCGTTTCGGCGTCCCCGATGCTACGTGGGACGCCGCGCACCCGGATGCGTTGACCTCGAGCGGGGACCGAGTCTGGCCAGCGGGTCCCCGGGATTCGCTCCACCATGTGAAGGACGGATGACCCGCCGCTTCCAGGCTGTGGACGTTGTTGAGGATCGAGGGGCTTGCCGCCGAGAAGTTGACATCGTCGACGAAGCCGCCCAGCCAGAAGATGTCGACGTTGATGCTAGAGAGCCGGCGGAGGAGACTGTTGATGGAGACTAGGAAGAGAATCACGGAAAGCGCCGAGCCTTGCGGAGCGCCCCGGTCACGGCAGCAGAACGTGGCAGTCCTCTTCCCGTCAATGATTAGGTGACCATCGAGGAAAGCAAGAACCCAGGCGATGGTGGAGCGAGGGAATCCGAGCGCAGCAAGTTCTTGGGCGACGACCCGGTGGCAAATCCCATTGAAAGCTCCCTTCAAGTCGAAGCTAAGCCTTGAGACCTAGTTCCCCGCGTCTAGTTGCGAGCGGGCACGGTGGATGAACGCGTACGCAGCTTGCTGGGGTGCTTCGGCCGGGTCGTCCTCCAAACTGGTCAGCTTGAAGGAAATTACGGGACTCGACCTCGAACGTGATCCGGTTCGCCATGAGACGCTCCAAGGGTTTCGCTAGCGCCTCAGCATGTTGCTCTACGGGACGCCACGCCTTCGGACTGGTCTTGTCCTTTTTGCTCGCTTTTGCGATTGGGATTGCGTTGGAGGTTTTGAGTCGTGTAGGGAAGAGCCCGAGTCGAACCGAGGACTTGAAGACGGCATTGACCCAGTTCTCGATGGCCGGCCAGACGCGGCGCACGTAGCCCATCTGCATCCCATGGGAATCAGGTGCCTTCCACGCGTCTCCTGTGAAGATCGCAGTGTGTACCTCCGCGTCTGTCACCTCCACCGCCTGCCGCTCCTCCGCGATCTCCAGCCCCGCCACCAACCGCGCTCTTGCTTCCACCCGCCGCTCTTCCTCCTCCTCCGCCTCTGCCCCCAGCCTCCGCTCCAAGCCCGGCCTCTCCGGCGTAACCCCTTTCACCTCGACTCCCTCACCCCCGACACCCTCGTCACTATCGTTCACCATAAACTAGTCTCTCGTAGACAGACGCTTCAACAAAACCTCGTACCTCGCTGGTTGAAGGCGTAAACGCCGTGAAATACAATTAGATTAATGGACTCTGAGGCATTCAAGCTGCGCACTTGATGGCCGGGAGATCCGGGGTCACCCCCATACGCGTATTGTCAAGCTTTTGAATGTGAACAGATGAGATTCTGGGCACCAACTGGAGAAAATGAATTTTCAAGAGGAGGTCCAGTCTGCTTCAGTGAGATCACAGGTGTGTAAAAGCCAAGTACCATTCCTTTGGCTCAACTCGACGAGGTTAGTTACCGATCCAGATGGTGGATGTTAATAGTTCCGTCGCATGTTCGGGACTAGGGAATCGTGATTGAAGATTGAGGTATCATACAAAGATGACAACATGAAAATGAACTGGACAAAATGCACACGCGCGGTATCCATGGCCGGCGCTGCAAGAACAGGAAACCTGAGCCTTAATAAGGGCAAATTGGCCAGGCACTGACCTCGAGGATTCCTCATTTTTGAACCGTCTCATGATCACCGGTCCTCTGGTTGCCGATATTTGAGGCATTATTCGTTGTCTCGGTGACACTTGGCTTGGTAGCGGGCAAAGCAGGGGTCTTGCTATCAGTGAGGCTCACCGTCGCAATAAAAAGATGAGGACAACATACGAAGGGGAAAGGCTCAACCTCGGCCCTTCCGTTTTCCTCGGCTGCGCGCTGGGACTTCTTTTCAGCACGGTACTTCTTGATTTGCTTGTATAATAGATACATGTTGGAGGATTCAAACGGGGATCCAGGGCTCGTCCTATAAAAGTCGAAGGTGACGTGATTGGTTTCAGTAATATCGCCCCACTCCCCGTCGGACCTATTTAGCAGCCCGACGGAACAAATTTGAGCGGAGTGGCTCTCCATCTCTGCGCATGCCGGCACCCTAGAATTCCACTCAATGGCCAACGGGAATTGCGCCTCATGGTCCGAATCTTTACGATTAGTCCTATGTCACAGGGGCGATCCATGTCGTCTTCCTCCTCCTCCAGGCAACTAATATAAATCGTCCTACCTGAATCCCTCATTTTCACTCGCTTTGGACAACTTCTCCGCGGTAAATAATGCAGTCGGATTCCACCATGATCAGGGCATGTATTCCCCTCCGGCGGTCTCCTTCAGTTCCACCTATCATGGACGATGAAACCGAGCGTCTAATCCGCTCCGCTCTGCCACGCGTTTAAGCGCACGCATGTACACGTCGTGTTTCCACGCGGCACGAAAGCCGAATCATTATGAAATATATTCGACTCCTCCCCGCAATTATTTGGCGTGCTTGGTACGCGGTTTGATTTTGTTGCGGCGCAACGACAGTGGCCTCTCCTGAGCTATATTTAGCGTAGTTGATCGTGTGAGAGGAATCTGGTACTTTGCCACGCAAACGAGAATAGACGCCGCAGGCGTTGCACACCTGTGCGCCGGTCTTGCTCCTCCGCCACACCGATGTCTGCCGGGTCAGACAGTGACTGCACTTCGGACCGGTGTACTCCTCGTCGGGAATCTGCGGCGTATCATCGTCATCAATATCCGCGTCGATGAGCTCCTGCGGTCTCAGCCTATTCCTCTGCTGGAGGTACAGGCCACAGGCGTTACACAGCGGACGTTGGGTCGAGGGGTCGCGACGCCACAGCGGGGTCGAGGTGACATGACAATGGGAACAAGACTTTTTCGGCGTCTCGCCATCCGAATTATTGCGTCTAGATGACTGTGGAAGAGCGGATTCGTTGGGCGTAGAGCGGAAATAGGGCGACTTGGACGATGATGATGTCGCGGATGAGTAAGGAGAATGTGGGGGCCATTCGTCAAAATGGGGGCTAAGAGGAGCCCCACTGCCAGCGGCCGACTTCCATTGCTGAGGCAAACGGTGCCTCTCGGAGGAGTAGTGCCACAGGGAGGAATTACTTCGTTGGAACGTGTCATATTGCGCCATGTTCGAGGTAGGCCACTGATTTTCGTAAGTGTCCGGGAGGTCCAGTAACGGACGGCGCGGATCTATGTCGGGCTCCTCACACATCGGGATGAGACTGGAGAAGTCGATGGCCGCATTGGACGATCCGACCTGTCGTCCGTAGCACTCAGTGGCGGAAGGGGTGGGACTCCGGGGGGAGTCGTCGAGCAGTGATGGGATATCTATTGGATACCGGGAATGGGGGAAATCGTGGGCAATGCTGCGTCCAGGAGGACCCTGGTCTGGACTTGACGGTGAGTAAAGAACGGCGGTCGAATTAATAGGTAACTCACCTGTGTCCCAGTATGTACTCGGCCTGCTCAGCATAGAAAATCTGTGAGACGACGGGTGAATGGTGTGCGTGGAGGGACGTAGCGGGCCTCTTCATTTAAATGCGGGAGACTTCTGATTAGCGCACCCAGACATGGGGCAAGCGGACATCTA